CCTATGTCAGGTACACAAATACTGTGAAGTGTTATATTTTCTTGTTGGATTGACCCTTTTATCATTATATAATGACCGTCTTTGTTTCTTACCTACAGTTTTTATCTTAAAGTCTATTTTGTTTGAGATAAGTATAGCTATTCCAACTTTCTTTTGGTTTCCATTTGCATGGAATACCTTTTGCTGTTCCTTCATTTTCAGTCTGTGTGTGCATACATCTGAAGTGAATCTCTTCTAGGCAGAATATAGATAGGTCTTGTTTTGTTGTTGTTGTTGTTTTAATCCATTTAGCTCCTCAATGTCTTTGGATTTGAGAATTTAACCTATTTACATTTAAACTAATTATTGATAGATATGCACTTATTACCATTTTAATTGTTATCTGACTGTTTTGTAATTCCTTTTTTTTCCCCCTCTTCCCTTGCTCTCTTCCTTTGTGATTTGATGACTTTCTGTAGTGGTATGCTTAGATTTCTCATTATGTTTTGTGACTCTATTATAGGTTTTTGCTTTGTGGTTACCATAAGGCTTATATAAAACAACTTACTTATCACAGGCCTTTTTTTGTTTGTTTTAAAGGGAGATTAATTTTATTGAATTTATCAAATCTTGGATTTTACCTTCAGAAATATTTGTTAGTTATTTGCAAATAAGTTTGAAATCAGTCTCTGTGTGTCTTAGTTCAAATCCTCAAGAGACAGTATGATTGGCAGCTGGCAGGTCAAATCTGCTGCAGCAGGAAGGAGGTCCATGTGGTAGAGCCCGGCCGCCCTGCTCAAGGCTGTGAATGGAATGTGAACTAGAAGCACAACAAATACAGTTGATTGACAGCTCTGCTTTGGGGGCACACCACATACCACAGGCCATTTTCAGTTGATAACAACTTAAGTATGAACTCAACCTAAAGCTCTACATTTTAATCCCCACCATTTTATTTTAGTATTACAGTGTGTATCTATCTTGTATATCTATTAACAAATCATTATGGTTATACTATTTTTACTAATTTTGTCTTTTAACCTTTATACTAGCTTTATAAGTAAGTAACCCATCACTGTTACATTAGATTGTTCTGAATTTTACTATACAGTTACCTTGACCAGGGAGATGTACACTCTCGTATGTTTTCCTGTTAGTAATTAACACTCTTTCTTTTCAGTTTAAAGAAGTCCTTGTAACATTTCTTGTAAGGCCAGTCCACTGGTGATTAACAACATTAACTTTTCTTGTTGAGGACATGCTTTATCTCTCCTTTAATTGTGAGGGACAACTTTTTCAGGCAGAGAATTCTTGGCTGGCAGGTTTTTTTTGTTTTTGGGGTTTTTTTTTTTTCTAGCACTTTGAGTATATTTATGTCACTCTCTTCTGGCCTGCAAAGTTTCTGTTGACAAAATCTGATATTCATAGGAGGTTCCCTTATAGTATCAAGTTATGTTTTTTCTTGCTGCTTTTAAGATACTCTCCTGGTCTTTAACTTGAACTTAATATAGTGTGCCTCCATGTGGGTCTCTTTATGTTCATGTTGTTTGGAACTCTCTAGGCTTTCTGGATTTGATGTCTGTTTCCTTCTCCAAGTTAGGGAAGTTCAGCCATTTCTTCAAATTAGTTTCCTACTCATTTTTCTCTCTCTTCTCCTTCTGGGATCCCTATAATGTGAGTGTTGGTCTACTTGATGTTGTCTCATTAGTCCCTAAAGCTATCTTCACTCTTTCATTCTTTTTGCTTTTTGCTGCTCTGTTGGGTGAGTTCCATTGCTCCGACTTCCAAGTTCACTAATGCTTCCTTCTGCTTCATTTATTCCGCTGTTAAACCCTTCTATTGGATTTTTCAGTTCCTATCCTATTCTTCAGCGTTGTGATTTCTGTATGGTACTATTTTACATTATTCATTTCTTTGTTGAAATTCTCACTTTGTTCATGGATTGTTCCCCTGACCTCAGAGAGCACTTTGACCACCATTTTTAACTCTTTATCAGATAAATCACTTATCTCCATTTCATTTAAGTCTTTTTTTTTTTTGAGGTTTTATCTAATTCTTTCACTTGGAACTTATCCCTCTGTTTCTTCATTTTTCTTGACTCTGTCTTGGTTTCCATTAGAAACAACAGCAATCCCTCCTACAGTTGACGGAGCAGCTTTGTGTAGATGAACTTTAATGTTCAAACCCTGCCCTAATTCTTATTTGCCTGTCAAACCTCTGTGATTGTCCAAGTACCCTACTTTCTTTCTAGTGGCTCCCAATAGTTATGGGTGGGTGTTCCAAAACCTGTCAGTGTCCCAAACAGGATCTCTTTCAGCACCTAGACTCAGTGATTGCAAGACAGGCCCTCAGGCAGCAGCTTTTAAAGTATGTAAATATACCTTTATCTGGGCAAGATTGGGAAATGGATGTTTCTGTCTGCTCCTTCTCCACCGAGCCCTCAAAGAGTTAACCATTTCTTTCTTTGCTACTGTCCCACTGAACCTGTGGACACAAACCCTGCTATAAGGGGATGTGTCCTCTGAGTGGCAGCCACAAAAGTTGGGGTGCCAGACATGCACACAGTTTCTTTCTCAGGGACACCAACAACCTGGAGCTAGGCAGAGGGAGAGCGCACAGATGGCACCTACACCGGTCTCCAGCCCTAGAATCGGCCCCTAGAGGTGAGCCAAACCAGAAGCCTGCCCTTCAGGCTGAAACTCCAAGACAAATAAGCCTTTTTCACAGAAAGACTTGGAGTTTGTTTCAGTCTGCTGTCTCTGTGCTGTGCCCTGGAGGTGACAGCCAGCCAAGAACTAGTCTGTGTGTTACAGACCCATTGGGTCCATGAATGCAAGCCCCACAGGCCACCAGAGCCAGTCAAGGGGTGTATCCAGGGCAGCAGCCAAAACTGTGGCACCAGACACATGTACAAGCTCCCCCCTGGGAGATACTGGTGGTCTGAGCACAGCAGAAGGGAGTATATGAAGATGGGGCCTGCCCTCCAATGTCTCTGGAGAGGATTCCAGTTGGCCCTTAGTGTGTGTTTAATTAGAAGCCTGTCCCTCAAGCCACAGCTATGAAGATAAGCTACTAGGCCTCTTTTGCAAAAAGACTGGGCGCTCAGTCTGTTGCCTCTCTGCGGTGCCCCGGCAGTGGTTCCTGGCTGAGAACTTTCCCCATTTGTTGCAGTCCTGTGGGACCCACAGGCACAGGCCCTGCTGGCCATCACACCCAGGCAACGTAGAGGTGTCTACTGGGCAGCAGCTGCAACAACTGGGGCATAGGTAAGTGTACAGGATCCATCTAGAGGGATACCAGTGAGCTGGAGCAAGGCGGAGGGCAAGTGCGAGGCTGGTGCCTGCTGGTCTCGGTCTCTGCAATGTCAGGATGCTGCTAGACATGTTTTACATTAGATACTGCCCCTCAGGCTCATGTGCTAAGCAGATAAGCTGCTTTCACAGCACTGGTGCTGGGCCCCGGGGTAGGTGGATACACAAGCACCCTTTAAGATCTGTTTCTCAGCTCGCTGTGGCTTTGTGGGTCTCATGGACAAAAGCTCCCTTGACTTTCAAAGCTACTTGTTTTGGGGAGCTTGTCTCAGGGGCAGGTCTTAAAAACAGGCGTACAAGATGTGGGTTCCAACCCTTTGCTCCTTAGGGAGAACCTCAGGGTTGTGAGTTTCCTCCTGATTGTGGGTTTTCCACACTGAGCGGAACTTATGGTGAGATTGTGTCTCAGCCTCTGCTACCAGCTTCAGCGTGGGTTTTTACTTCCAGGAGTCGTTCAGCTAGTTTGGATTTTTTTCCCAGAGGACACTGTTCTGCATGCAGCTATAGGTTCAGTGTGTCTGCGGGGGGAGGTGCTCCTCCTGTGCTGCCATCTTGAACTGGAACCCATACGCCTTTTAAAATAAGTTGAGGTTCAGATGCTGGCTCTTCTTTCTGAGATTTAAAAGCATTATTAACAGTATAGATACTATATACTTTCATCTTTACCCAATTAAAGAGTAAAGAATAAGGTGGGGTATTCTGATGCCACAAGCTTTCAAGTTAATAAACGTTAAGTCCTAAGTAGTCATGGGGAAGGCTGGGGAAGACAACCTGCCGTTACTGATCAGAATAAAGAGAAGTAACAGGTCAGATTCTTCAGCATGTATTAAGTCACTAGCTAAGTATAGTTACAAATTTTTGTGACGGTTACCAGCTATTGTAAGTTACTACAAGGCTTTACTGAACAGTGAATCTGTCCCCCCAAAATCAAACTGACTCAACAAAAGTATCTGTTAACTTTCCTGCTACTTAATTTTGCACTGCAGACATCCTCCTGCCTCCCTTCCATCTAGACCACTCCTTACCACTAGCAGCTGGAGTCCAGCTGTGCAGTTAAGGCAGTGGACAAATGTGATCCATCAGTTATGATGACCTTTAACTTTACCAACAAATAATTTATAGATTTGGAAGGTGTTTTCAGGAATGCTGGTTTCATTGAGACTTTTAAGAGCTCTTATGGAAAATTCAACACAAAAATTTGCTTTAGAAGAACTTTATGGGCATATGATTAGCAGTATATAGAGTATTTGAATTTAAAAAAATTATGATTTAACACTACATTCCATCATAAAGCTCTGAATACTGTGACTAAGCAAAGGAACAGTTTTTAAAATTTCTTTCACTAAAGAACAAAAAGATATTCAAAATTAAAAAGGCAACATATTTTGACTGTACAGCAAATTTACCTAGTTTTCATTCTATAAATAAATAATTTGTGAAATACTCTAAAGTCAGTGGACAAAACAGAAAACCGTTATTTTTTGTTACATCCCACAATTCTTAGAACTAAGACTAGAGGTTCCAGGACTTTGAATCTTCATGCTATATAGCATATACAGTGGGCATTCTCCACTGTATCAGGAAATGGTTTTCTAAAGGGTATTCATTCTCCAGGCCATTAAATAATTTTAACTTTTTTTCTTTATTCAAAACATTTACCAATTAGAAGAAGAAAGAGACCTGAAAAATCTGATTACTTTTTTGTGGGGGTTTTTTTTTTTTGCTACTTGCAATTTTCTTTTACATGCTTTCATAGTCATTTGAAAATAAGATAATTTCCTTTGGGTATTATGTACAAATTAAATGCACAATGAATGTTTCTTCAAATGAACATAAACTTTCAATCAGTAACATGTCACCTGTAGCAAAGAGGATACCAAACTACTGTGACAGGTAACAAAAGATTACAGTTTAACAAAAACCTGTCAGAGGCAATCATCAAATTACAATTTTGATGGGGTTCCTTCATTATTATTATTGTCTGTCCATAAATCCAGCAGCGTGGAGTCCATTTCAAATCCTTCTAAGAGTCCACTTCATGAGTTAAATATGTACATACAAAATAAAGCAGCTATACTGTCATTTTTAAAAAGTAAATTATTTTACATATTCTAGGCTGGAGGCAGGTTAATGTAATCAAAGGTTATCGCTCTGAAAAGTATGATGGTAGGATTTTACAGCTCAGGTTACACAGGTTAACTCTTGGTTTGTGTCAAGTATCACTGAGCTATGTCTGAAGGACATCCTCACTCCTGTCACATTTATTTACAGCTGTCCAATAATAAGCACTTGAGCGGTAAAAATATTTCCAGTATGAAATGTGTGATGTTGAAGACAAATGTTTCAGAGCATCAGGAATTAGATTAACAAAAGAGCAAAGTAAATGTAGAACAAGGAAAGGGAAGTTACATTTATTAAAAATAAAAATAGTAGAATCTCTGATAACAAAACCATTTAGAATCCAAACATCTCCAACATGCACTTAAGAATGCACATGTATTTTAAAAACCCACAGAGCCGTTAAGTAGTTTTTTTTGTTTGTTTGTTTTGTTTTTAGAATTTTAGAAGCAAAAAAGAGCTGGGGCCGGGGCCGGGGCCTGCGGGAGGCCGGCCCGCAAACAGCGGGCCCAGCGCCCCTTCCCGCGTCCAGTCGGCGCGGCGGGTCATTGGGTGAATGCGCCGCTGCTGGTGGAGACCGCAGTTCTGGAGGGCTGATCGGTACGTAAGTCAGTGGCTCCATTTCATAAAAAATCTGCAGAGGCTGGAAGTGCAGGGACGACCGTTTTCAAAATCTTCAGCTTTAACAGAAGGTACAGAATAAACTACTAAATCTAGAGGCTTTCACATTATTTTGCCCGAGTATCAAGTACTGTGTAAAAATTCCTGTAAAATCTTAAGTTAGACAAAACTAGTCTCTTTAAGCTTTAGATCAAAGCTCTTCACTCTGTCAGCATGGCTGATCAATCTTTTCTGCCTCTGTCACTAATAATGCTTGTCAAAGCAAGGAACTTTGAGAAAAAATGTGCACGGCTGAAGGAAAATAGTACCAAAAATGCCACTGGACGCCGTCCTAAGAAACACACAGCTCCTGCTGGATACCGGGCTGTGAGAGTTTATTGTCTTCAGTCTTTTCCTGTCCTGGAGCTTGGCAAGTAGTCTTCCGCTTAAATAATCGAAGGCTCAATCGTAACAATTCATTGTCCACCACAGGAGCATTCGTATAAGCTTGTTTTATGGTGCCCTATTTGGAGAAAACAAAAACAAAGGAAAAAAACAGTGTACATATTAGCTGACCGTACATAACAGCAGTAGAAACGACAGGTTACCTGCTAACAGAAGTATCCGTTATAAGAAAAATTAATTTGGGATGGATATTAAATTAGCTGTATTAGATATTTAAAAGCAAAATTAGGAAAAGTTTTAAGACTCAAGGAATCTTAGAAAAGAAAGCAATCTTTGAAGGGTACCCAGTCTAACTTCTTGCTTAAAGTAGGGATCTTCTCAACAATCCCTGACAGGCCATCACCAGTTTTTACTTCATCATTGCTAATGATAAAACAAAATGACAAAAAACACACTACACATCCTACTGCTGAGTGGTACTTTATTTCTTTTCAAAGAGTCCAGCTCTTTGGGATGAAATAAAATCTCTTCCCAGGAGCTACACACTAATTTGATTTTAGTTTCACATGACAAACCTTCAAGTCTCTGAAAAGAAGCACCAAACATTCCATGCCTTACTATCTCCTTTGTTCTAAGATGTATGTCTCTCTCTACTGGAACTCAAAGCTACATTAGCATTTTTAAAACGTATTGTCAGGAAATTTTGTTAAATGTTCTCCAATCATGTGTATGATGAAATAAGGTAAGATGGGATTATTTCCGGCATTCTGTTATTTCTCTTCTAGAATCTTTAAAAGGAGCAGTAATTCCTTGATCACATCTGCACTACAAAAAATATTTTATAAGTTGTGACACAGTAAAATTGACTTATGTGTAGTTCTGTGAGTTTTTACTGATATATACATTCAAGTAACCAAGTCCACAATCAGGATAGAGAAGATTCATCATTTTAAAAACTTCATTTATTATCCCTTCATATTCATACTTCTTCCCAACTCTAACCCCTTGTAAACAATAACTTTTATAATGTGCTATGCTAATGGTCTGTGCCGTGAATTAGGATTATAAGGTTGTAAACAAGGGTTCTCAACGAGGGGTATATTAGGGTGTCACAATTTTTGAATGGTACTAAATGGCATATCAGAACACTAACCAGGAAATCCTACAAAATATTTTTTATAAAAACACAGTCTGGGGTTCCTTACCTGAGATAAACAGAAGTTAATCTGAGTTTCAGTTTCCTTTATTCTTAAGTAAATGCTTACATAAATGATCACTAGCATTTCCTTTGTCTGATTTGCTCTATTCACATAAACAGTGTTTATATTTAGTTCTTGCATATATATATATATGTGTGTGTATATATATATATATACACACACACACACACCTCCTCAGAGATAGACAGACCTCCCTCTCCTCATAGTATGTAGGTAGGTAGATAGAGGTCTGTGTAATCTATGAGGACAGAGGGAGGTCTGTCTGTCTATGAGGAGAGAGGTTTATCTCTCCTCATAGACAGGTAAGTAGACAGACCTCTCTCTCCTCAAAGACAGGTGATAGGAAGACAGATACACGGACAGAAATAGAGACAGACCCCTCTCTCTGGACAGACCGACCTCTGTCTCTCCTCAAAGGGAGATGATAAATGGACAGACTACTTTCCTTATACTTAGAGAGATAGATAGACCTCTCTCTCTCTCCCCCCTCACAGTAGGTAGATAGAAAGAACTCTCCTCAAAGATAGATGATATAGATACAGAGACAAAGATAGACACATTGCTAGGCAGACATCTCTCTCTGCTCTCAGAGAGGCTGACCCCTGAAAGAAACAGAGACAGAAGTATAGACAGACCTTTCTCTCTCCTCATACACAGAGAGAGAGACCTGTCTCTCCCCTCAAACACAGACAGACACAGACAAACAAAGATAGATCTTTCTCCTCATAGATAAACCTCTCAGTCTCCTTATAGATACACAGACATACAGAAAGGTAGACCTTTCTCTTTCCTTATCAATATATATATATAGATATATAACATAAGGAGAGAGATAACCCTCTCTGTCCTCATAGACATCTCTCCTTCCCCCTCATATATTTCTCTCTCCTCTTATCTAGCTGTATGTCTATCCATCAGTTTTTCTCCATGTGTGTATGTGTAGATATATATATTTCTCCTCACCACTCTTTATCTGGGAATTTTTTCCCATTGATTTTCATTTTAAATAAATTTCTAGCATATTATCTAAAGAAATCTTCTAAA